AGTTAAAATAGATTAATAAACAATAAAAAACTAAAATAAGATAGTTTTCTTTCAATAACATCCAAGATTCCAAGTCTACAAAATAACAAGATTCCAAGTCACCATCTTTCAAAAATAATAAATACATAATACAGTGGATCGAATTGGATTATATCAATTTTCACCAACCAAATCGAAAATCGATCCAATCCAACTAAAATATGCATTTTTTTGTTTTTCAGTTTTCGATTTTTCAATTATGTCACCATGATTTGAATCAGTTTGGATCGATTTATGAACACCCCTAATATCAATGGTGCAATCCATTTTATTGTCTAGGAAGCTTAATAAAGAAGACTTAAGGAGTTAAGAAATGTGTTCATCGTGCATATACATTTGTTGAAGAGATATAATATAAAATCATTGAAGATCCATCACTTACCAGTTTAATCTTTTGGGTAAAATGGTTGCTTATCATGATATCAGAGTCAAGATGACCATGAGGTCACAAGTTCAATCCTCATCACCCCTACTTTCTTGTGAAATTTAGTCAGCACTGTGTAGAACAAAAAAATGGGTCTTTGCAATATCCATGTTTCAAGCCGAAAGAGCTCTTGCATGAGGAAATGTGAGAGATATAATATAAAATCAGTGAAGACTCATCACTTACCAGCTTAAGCTTTTGAGTAGAAATGATTCTTTACAGCATCACAGAGTTCATAGGCATTCTCAACGACTAATGACTAAAGACAGACACATGGTTCCAGTTAGACCTAAGAAGGCTAAACCCTAAACCATTATTATATAAAGAAGGCTCAGTGCTCAGGTATAATCATCTCCTCTATTGTAACTTAAGCTCATTAATCAAATACTGATTGAGCGTCAGAGTGCCTTGTAGATATCTCTCATTATCTATTCTCTCCAAACAAAGACCTTAAGCACTGGTACAACAATTCTGTTGAAGTATCCCGCATCAAAAATTCATCTCGCTGCAGACTCATCTCAAACATCAACTGAACCAAGTTCAATCGTGTGTGATCAGATTTTAAACATATTTTATTAAAATAAATATATTATTCAAGTTCTTGAAAAACGTTTTATGGTAGTTGATCTCTGAAAGTTTGGTCTATATAAATTAGTTTTAAAAAAATTATTAGCGAGGAAAATTTCGATAATATACACTAATTATTAACAAGTTAACAATTTCCGGGACTAGTTTATAAAAATAGAAGCTTTCAGATACGTACTAAAGATACACAAATAATACTTTTTTGAGTAAATTAACTTTTGCGTCATTAACAAATATCACATGCCCAATTTAATCGTTTAGAAAAAAAAAAGTCGATTCGTGATTTTTCTGAAATTTAAAATAGACCAATACTAAACTTTTTGAGGGACTAACATGTGTCTTTTTTGAATTTCATAGGGACCACGATTGCGACTCGCTGGGTCTACTTTAAATTTCAGAGCGACCACACAAGTCAATTTTTTTAAGGGATTAAATTGGGCTCGTAATTTTTGTTGAGGATCCAAAAAGTATTTTACTCTACTTTTTTGGAACTAAATTGTATATTTATTCAATTAGTTTAATGTGGCATACCGTCCAAATAAAAAAAGGGATTATTGTTTCTTATGTTGTAGAAGATAATTTTATCTCTTACACAAATATAAAAGTATGTGTAAAGGTCATATGAACTATGAAGAGAAGGGAGAGAAAGAAAATATGAGCTCCACGTATTTTTATATGTGTGTAGGAGATAAAATTATTTTTTTACAAAATGAGAAAAACTATTCCTATAAAAAAATCCACTTTGAGAATAATGTAATTCATTCTGGATATAACAAAAAAGTTTATTAAAAAGATACCTATGATTATATTTTAAAAGTGATCTGCTTTATTAAGATATAATTTTTTTTTCTAAATTAGCTATTAAAATATGGGAAAAATGTTTGTCATTTTAAATGACACAACTTTGTGTCATTTTTAATGAAACTACGTCGTTTCGGTAAGTTTTTACATTATCTCTCCTCCATTTTCTTTTTAATTTTAATTTTATAAATTTAGAGAAAATGACAAAACACATCAAAACAACGTAGTTTCATTAAAAATGACACAAAGTTGTGTCATTTAAAATGACAAACACTAAACCCATAAAATATTATTCTAAAATACAAATAGTTTATTTAAGTTATTATTTTTTTTAAATAATAGAAAATGAACCGGAACAGTGATAAAACTGTTTCTTTATGACTGAAAGGTTATCGGTTAGAATTCAGAAAACAGTCTTTTTACAATTATTTGCAAGGATAAGAATGCGTATTAGTATTGACTTCACCCCACATTCGCTAGTCGGATTTAATTAGAGAGTGGTTTGTTACAAAATAAATCAGCTAAAATCTTAACCAAAGCAGATATTAATTGTGGCGTTGTCAATCTTAGAGCGAACTCCTTGCAAATAAGTATCATGGCTTAGTTTAAAGTTATGTTCACCATTTGGTTTATATTTTAATATAATTAATTATAAGAGAATAGATATTAAAACATAAATTTTAAAATATTGATATGAAAAAAATTATTTGTATGTAAAAATAGTATTTTAAAAGGGAAATTGAATAAATTGATTTTGTTTAAATGGTATAATATATGAAGGTTACTAAACCAACCTTCATTGTTGGATATACACCCGATATAGTTTGCCATTGGTGCATCATCTCATGGGGACACAAGTGAGAAAAGAAAATGTTGCGAAGGGTAAGAGTGGAATATGAGTCATGACGATGGCAGAATCATAGAACAAAGATAGAATTAATTTTTTTCCACCGCCAATATGTGTTTTGCCAATGTATTGGATAGTCAAACAATAATGAAAAAAAAAAAAAAAATCAAGTATTTCGTTGAGTAAACAAATGCTTGACATGCTTAAAATCTAAACGAGAAAAACACTTGGCTACATGCAGGGATGGATAAGTAAAGCCATGGTTAAGGACCAAGGTAATAAAGAAAACTTCCCTTAAAATTAATTATTTTAAGAAAAATCACGTATTGAGTGAAAATTCTTCTATCTGTTCATTACTTGCATGCAGCATGCAGGCACTGAAAGTTTAATCGGTCGTAGATAGCGACTAGCGAAGCGAGTTTACGATCAACCTTTTTTTGGGTAATGGATATATTCATATCTTAGAAAACATTAATCTGAACCCTTTGAAATGGAGTTTCTAGAATGTATCTCACCGACCTGCCATCGGTGGCATAACTAGAACCACACCCATCTCAGCTACTTCCAAAATCTAACTTTTATATTACACCAGTTGAGATATTGCAGGTTGCAATCAAATGCAATTGTTTCATAAAAGTATAATTATCCGCTTATACATTTGATTTTGTTATTTTTACACCATAACATTTTACGACATTTTTTATTATAAAAAAGTACTATATATATATATATATATATATATATTTAAATTAAATTTTTATGTTAAATATTATAAAATTAACCACAAAAGTTAGAAACACAATAATAGAATTTACATATTAAGTAATAAAAATTATAAACTTATAAAAATACACAAACTTATATTCCTAAATATGTATTTTTATATTACATCTCAGCTACTTCCAAAATCCAACTTTTATATTACACCAGTTGAGATATTGCATGTTGCAATCAAATGCGATTGTTGCATATAAGTATAATTATCCGCTTATACATTTAATTTTGTTATTTTTACAACCATAACATTTTACGACTTTTTTTATTATAAAAAAGTATTATATATATTTTTTTAAAAAAGTTAAATATTATAAAATTAACCACAAAAGTTAGAAATACAATAACAGAAATTACATATTAAGTAACAAATATTGTAAACTCATAAAAATACACAAACTTATATTACTAAATATGTAATCATAAAAGGTTAGTATACAATATTTTAAAAAATGAATATCAAAATGAACTCCTAAATTCATAACTTTTATATTTGAGAAAATAAATAAATAAAGATAGTGGGTTGAAATGTATATTTTTTGAATTTTATTATTACAAAAATATAAAAATGGTATAATAAAAATATTAACAATGTTATTGTAATGTATAGATATATGAGTTCGCTTTTTCTGCAGTTACTGCAGATAAATTATCTGCAGTAAGCTAATACGACGTCGTTTTGGGGCGAAAATCATGGTATTTTTGTAATTTTAATTTATTTCAGGGTCATAATAGTCTTTATATTTATAATTTTTTAAGATTTTAATACCAAAATGACGTCGTTTTGAGAATAAATGCAGATAACTTATCTGCATTAACTGCAGAAACATTTTTCCCTATATATATATAGGGCTTATCATTTCTCAAGCTGCTTGAGACAATGTTATCTTCGGCTACAAAATCATAACCGTACAAAGATTTATTAATGGTGATAAAGGAAGAGAGAGAAAAAGGGAATCATAACCATTCAAAGGTAAATCAATTAATATAAGAAAATAAATAAACAAAACGACGTAGTTTTAGAGTGGCCGGAGATAACATTGTCTCAAGCAACTTGAGAAATATTTTTCCCATATATATATATATATATATATGCAACCCGTTTTGATGGAGAAAAATGGTTCCACATATATGTAAATGGTTTGATGTTTCTTATGTTGTAGAAGATGAAATTATCTGTTACACATCTATAAAAGTGTATAAGGTTCATCTGAAAAGAAGAATGAGAAAAAGAAAACATGAACCCACATACTTTTATGTATGTGTATGAGATAAAATAATCTCCAATAACATGAGACGTTAAACCCACTTGCAAATGACTAACCCGTTAAATTGCATTGATTGCAACCACATTTCACTAATAAGCAAAGGAATGTTAATTCATACATTTAGTGCTCATTAACGCAACATTGTTTTTTCTTTGGTAGGTAGAGAGTGATTTCTTATTATAAATTTAAGACTAAAGAAATCTGCATTTCATAAATGATCCTTTAATTAAGGAGGGGTTAAGAAAATAGCTAGCAACAAAAAATGGAGGTGCTAAGGGTGCAAACCATAGCTTCCGAGTCCAAAGATGCTGTTATCCCTGCCATGTTTGTTAGGCCAGAGACAGAGCAACCAGGAATCACAACCGTTCATGGGGTGAAACTTGGGGTTCCCATTATTGATTTCAGTAATCTAGATGAAGGAAAAGTCATGCGTGAGATTATGGAGGCAAGTAGGGATTGGGGAATGTTCCAAATTGTGAACCATGAGATACCTAGCCAAGTTATAAGCAAATTGCAAACTGTAGGTAAAGAGTTCTTTGACCTACCACAAGAAGAAAAAGAGCTATATGCTATGCCTGCAGGGTCTGATTCTATAGAAGGTTATGGCACAAAGCTTCAGAAAGAGGTGAATGACAAGAAAGGCTGGGTGGACCATTTATTTCACATTATATGGCCACCTTCTGCCATTCACTACCGTTTCTGGCCTAAGAATCCTCCTTCTTACAGGTTAGTTTGATGAATATTAATGTCATTTGTCTTCTTCTTCTTAGAAACCTTCCTATTTTGACGTGCATACAATGCATAGACTCATGATTAGAGCCCGCAAAACGGGCTCGGCTCGGCAGGTCAATTCACCCAACCCGCTAAACGGAGCGGGTTGGACTGAATTTTTCAACCCATTTCAAAAGCGGGGCGGAGCGGGACGGGACGGGTTCATTTTTTGACAGGTTGATGGCGGGCATAGGCAGGCCGAAACGGATCAGTGTAAAATAGGCTCGGGCTGGCGGGCCAACTCACCCAACCCGCCAAACGAGCGGGGCGGGCTGAGTTTTTGAGCCCACTTTCAAAAGCGAGACGAGACAGATTGACTCATTTTTTGGCGGAGTAGGGCGGGGCGGGGCGGGCCGCCCACTTTGCCACCTCTACTCATGACTATCGCCATTTTTTGGTCGAAGCATGATATATATGATATTTATTGCCATTGATTTTGTTTCTTGTCCATCATGGCTACTGTTCACCATTGTGTTATTTTTAAGGGGGTTAACACAACCTGAAGGGACTTTTTTACCGATTTGAAATAAAATGAATAAATAAAAAATGGCATTATTTGTTAGGAGATATAATAATCATTAATTTATAGCTCTAGCTATTGACATAAGCTCTCGTAGAGTTGGTTGTATGACTAGAGTCTATTACCAAGTAATATAGAGTTCAATCCTTTACGTCTCTCCATGTTTAAAAAAAAAAAAAAAAAGGGTCTCGAGGAGATGCTTTGAGAGACATAATAAAAAGCATTAAAATCATTACAGTTTGGAATGCAACAGATCATCATGGCTCAGATTTACCTCTTGTAGTATAGATCAGCGCAAAACCTCCTTGTATTTGATTTCTCTTCACGAACTGCTCTTCTCTGCGTCGCAGCACAAACAATCTCCTCGAGGCTGGCTGGTGTGGTAGCAGATCTTCTGGACTATCTCTCAAAGGGGAATGGGGAGGTAGTGTGGCACTTTCTCACTCTCAGGGAGATGACCTTACCTCAGCCTACGCAATAGAACAAATGAGGTTGATGGCTGAAAGAGAAGAATATATATGGTTTCCAAGAAATCTCAGTCCTAGTGTGCTTGGGCTTTAAGCTTCTTGAGTTTTACTTACATACTAAGCCCAATTGGACTTTAAGTGAAAGAGCATAAACCCAACAATCTCTCATTTGTTCTTGAATATAAACTTGAGCCCAAAGCCGAAGACCATGTAACTCATTATTCAATTATCTATTTATAATAAACTGAGGATTAAAAGCAATTATATAACTATAGTTAACTGAGATTTGATATTTTATGACAGAAAAACAACCTTAATCAAATCTCTCCTTGATCTTTTCAATGTGAATGTTAACTCACACTAGTATTTTACAATGATTTGGACAAAATCATTTCATAAAATATTGCAGTCTTAGTAAAGCACCCAACTTTATTTAACAGTTGTGAACCAATTCATTAATCGTGAGAACCTATGATCACATCCTCCACGAACATATCCAAATGATCATACACTCCACAATTGATCTGGACCTTAATGTTTGTAAATTGTGTGCACAAAATAATGAATAGTACCTTATTTGTAAAGTTCATAAAATGATTACATTATTTAATTATCTTACTCCAAGAGCACAATGAACACAATATCTCCCACTCGCCTAATACAAGTCTGTGATCCTTCTAAGACCCAAAGAAGTAACATGCCTCTCAAATATAAGTTCAGGCAAAGTCTTAGTAACTGGGTCTGCAAGATCCACCTCTTAGTGTGAACCTCATAGCTCAAGTACGATTTTCTTGAGTCAATATTCACTTGAAAAATTGAATCTTGAAAACTTAGCTTTTCAAGACCCCCACTAGAATATATCAGCATATAATCTCTTGACCTCTGAAGATACTTGAGTATATGCTTAACATCAATCTAGAGTTCCTCTAGGATTAGAATGATATTGTCTCACTACTCTCACTGCGTGACAGATGTCTGGTTTAATTCACAACATGGTATACATGAGACTATCTATTGCCAAAGCATAAAGTATCCTACTCATGCATTCTTCCTACTCAAGATTCTTTAGAGGTTACTCCTAGGGAAGATGAATTGCACATCTGAGAGATATTATTCCCCTCTCATAATTTCTCATGTTGAATTTTGACAAGAGTTTTGTCAATATAAGCAGCCTAAGGTGATGCCAACAACTTTATGCTTGACATTACCTCCTTGGGAAGATGAATTGCATATCTGAGAGATATTATTCCCCTCTCATAATTTCTCATGTTGAATTTTGACAAGAGTTTTGTCAATATAAGCAGCCTAAGGTGATACCAACAACTTATTCTTCCGGTCTCGTAAGAGTTTTATACCAAGAATATAATTGGTTTCCCTAGAACTTTCATATAAATTTTTTACTCAGTCAACTCTTTATGCTTGACATTACCTCCACGTTATTTCCAATAAGGAATATATCATCTACATAAAGTATCAGAAAAGCTATTGCCTCCCCTTGGATCCTTTACATACAAATACACACGATTCATTACGGTTTTCTCAAAACCAATTTTTTTTATAATATGATCAAAACTAATGTTCCATGACCTGGATGCTTGCTTAAGTCCATAAAATGGACTTTCAAAACTTGCGTACCGTGTATACCTACCCATTAGTTATAAACCCTTTTTGGTTATTGCATGTAGATATCATCTTCGAAATTTTCATTCAAAAAGGTTATTTTGATATTTATCTCCTAAAATAAAATCTCACAATTGAGACTTGTAGTAACAACTAAGAGAATCTGAAAAAACTCAAGCATGAAATTTGGCAAAGTTTTTTCTCTTAATCCACACCCTCTCTTAGGTGTGATCTTTTGCCTCCAAACTAATTTTGAAAGTTTTCACCTTCCTCTTTAACCTCTCTTTGTCTGGTAGGTCTACATACACCTAGTGGGCCTTACCCTTCTTGGTGCCTTTACTAAAAACTGAATCACCAAACATAGTTGAAATACAAGTATTCCTCATTATGGTTCATAGCTTTGAGCAACACTTGATCAACAATATCTTCTAGTGTATTATTGTAACTAGTGATATCAATGTCACTCAATAAGAGAAAACTTACGGGTTAACAAGATTCTCTCCCACTACGAATATGTCATACTAGACCTTGTGCATTTACAGGTAGATCCAAGTTTAGGACAGATGGCGGACCTTCAATTTCTTAATGATTCACATATTTCGTGTTAACAAATCCTTGATATTTCTCTTCTATGTGTAGTACTAATATTTCTACTATTTCCTCTTGTATATTATTATATTAAATTTTCAAATATGGTTCCCGTGTTTGTTCACCTAGAGGAATTTTTTCTTCTCTTTGAACAATCAAGGGAACAGAAGATAGAGCTTCTAGATATCCTAGAAATTCTTGATCTAAGTCTCATCAAGAATAACATTACTTATGGGCTTATGATTTTCCAAGACCTCCTCTAAGAAAGTCACGTGAATGCCCACTAAGACCATCTTATCATTTGGACTAAATAAGATCCAATCCCAGGTTCTCTCAGGGTAGCCAAAAGATGTGCACACTTCCGTACAATATTCTATCTTCTTTGACCACTATTGTAAGACGTGTGCCGGAGCACTGTTAAGTGTAAATTGTATAATGTCTTTAGGGTCAAAAATATTGTTGAATATGGTTAAAGACATAGTATATATTATCTAATGCAAAAGAATTCAGAGTTTTCGTTCTTGGTAAGTGTTGTGTATTTAGCAAGTGTACTAGTCACACAAGTAATAAAATGAAGAGTAAAGATCGTTCCCACGAGGATTTGGATTCAAACACCGACTAACCATATATACTTCAGTTGAATCAAACAAAAGATTATTAGTTGCATTGATTTCTTGTCACCAGAAATTAAATTAAATGAAAGTAAAACTTGATAAACAAATAAAATGTGAATTATACGTTAAACAAGTAGTCAGTCATCAATTTCCCTCAAGCATGAACTTATGTATGAATCAATTCCTACAATGAATTATCTACTATGAGATGTTAATCAACTTTTTTCTTATCATCAAGATGTAATCCCTTACTACCTTGATTGATACATTAATCAGAAACTCCAATCCCTTGGTGATTCCCTTCTTAATACATGCATTAAATACTAAGATCTTAAGATCACATCAGAATCCTAGCATCAATCCCTTGACTACTAGAACACTAATGATGAAGTTGTCAATTACAGAAACAATGTAAACACCCATGTTCTACACTATTCCCTTGATAGAAAGAATCAATAAAGACAACTTCATATCATCACATAATAGATAAACAGAATATTCAATTAACCATTCATAAATTCACACTTGAGTTCCATTGAATCAGACTACAAAGGACTCTACTCAGACATAATGAAAATATAAACAAGAGAAGAAGAAATATCAAACTCCATTGTCATGATGGTTGAGTCTTCAATCTTCAATTACAATTACATAAAGATGTACTAACTATTACAAAAAACTAATCCTAAAGAATTTGGAAAGTCAGAGAAAGTGAAGAGTCAAATCAGAGGATCTGAATAGGATATTGAAAAAATGAAGCCACTTGCCCTTTTATAGAGTCACCAAATACAACTGAATAACAGCCAAAAACTGACTTGGGCGCTAAAATGTTCTCTGTTGGATGTTTTAGCGCTCAACTTTGACGGATGCTCAACTGCTTTTAACTGTCTTTAGCGCTAAAACATTCTCCTTGAACGTTTTAGCGCTCAAGACTAGAACATTTTTGCACATCAGAATGCTAAAACCTTTGCATTGGACGTTTTGGCGCTCGACACCAGCAACTTTTGGCTTCTTTATGCAGCAGCGCGCTAAAACGTTCTCCGTGGACATTTTAGCACGCAACACTTGGCAATTTCCACTCTTCAGAATCTTCTTCCTTCTCTCATTTGCTTCTTTGAGCTTCATTTCCCTACAAAACAATGTAGATTTCAACAAAGCTTTTAGAACTTGTACTTTAGGGCTTTCTAGGATATTAACCTCTTTTCCATCCATTTAATCACACAAACTGATACTAATTCATGCTTAAAAACCTGATGAACTAGGAGTTTATCACAATTCCCAGATTTGGACATTGTTGTCCTCAGTAATGAACTTACAACAGAGAAGGATTTAAGATTCTTTACAGATGAAACTCATGAAGATGGACTTCAATTAACAACAGATCACATTTCATGATACAAGCTTATAACCATGCAATCTCTTATCTCCTATGATTTGCCCAACATCATATGTGACTTTTCAACAGATCAGTAAAGATGATATATATAGAGATTTCCAAACAACAACACCCCATCACTAGGAACTTCTCAAAAATTGTGAGAATTTAACTCTCTTGCACACTAGTGTTTAAGGATGCACTTATCACTCACTCTTCACTGCACTCAAACTGCCATAGGCTTGCCCATCTTCTCACTTTCCACAGTAACAATGATCTATAAGGCAGATCGAAAAGGTCTTGGTGTGATTAGTAATAAGGCTTGGTATGTGGCTTGACTAGAGGTAAGGATTTATGCTAAAGGGGAAGTTCAGATCAAATGAATCAGATTTAGATAAGATAAGAGATCACAGTATTTATCAAATTCTTCCTAATTCCCGCAACTTTCTTCATTTTCATTCCTTGTGCTTTTCTTTTTAACCTTTCTTCCTCCTTTTCTTCCTGACACTCTGTGTCTTTAACATTTTTTTCTTTGTCTTCTTTCTTTTCTTTTCAGACACTTTGTGTCTTTAATACTTCCCTCTGTCTCTTCTACACACTTTGTGTCTCATACCTTTTCCTTTCTTTTCCTTTCTTCTTTCCTATATTTCCAACACTTGTGCATTCACTTATTGCAGAAAACACTTTCCTCCCCACAGAACACTCCATCCATTATCACTTATCTGAAACTTTTAATCTGAAGGATTGGAATAAATGTGGTTCTTGGTTTTATAGACAACAGGTTAGGCTCAAGAGTTTCATGCAATGTACACATTAAGGGTTGGCCATTTGACTTTTTGGTTCAAAAAGGAAATGCCTCAATCATTTCTACCCTACACATCATCAACCATTTCAAAA